TCTCCTGGGAGCTGACTAGCGCCCAGGAAACTGTTATGGGAGCCTGGTTGGAGAAGCAGTGCAGTAAAGATCCAACAAGTGCCATGGGTGCCATGCCATGCCATGCCAAAGACATAATTAACGTTCCTTCCCCCTATTTTTATCTTTTTTTTTTTTTGAACACTGTAAGGAAGGGCAAACGTTTTTTGTCTCTAATTCAACAGAGGTATGTGTCAGTAGGAACTGCTGATGTTCAATGTTAAGGTTGCATGTCTGATATAAATGCAGATATGGTCACAGCTATGATACAAAAACAAATTATCCATTATATTTTCCTGGAGAAGCCAGGAATATGTTTCCTGGAGTCCTAAGACAAAAAACAAACAAGGAACAACAACAACAAAAACATGGTACCAATTGTAGCAAACAAATGAGCACACAAGAAAGCAAAAGGTTGCTCATCAGCATTCTCCTGACTAGTGTAAGATCCTCTCAGGAAGAGGATCCCATTCTCTCACCTGGTCATCAAGAAAACCTGTTTCATTCTGCCCTTTAGTAGCTTACAAAACAGTGTCTTCTATTTGTATAGTGGCACTCAAATGAGTGTTTGAGTTCTATCTATGAATATTTAAAGCATCCATATTTTTAGGAAATAATTTTAGAAGAACATTAAAGCATGCTAATATTAAATACTAGTATTTATTTTGACAGTACAGTGATATGCAAAGGTTTATCCCCACAAACACATTATTTCCACAACTACAACCATAAAGTATCCAGTCTTATTTTTAGGAAATAATTTTAACAGAGCATTAAACCATACTATTATTAAATACTAGTATTTATTTTGACTGTACAATGATGTGCAAAGGTCTATTCATGCAAACACATTATTTCTGCACCCACAACCATTTTGTTCAAATTGTTTATGATAAAATGGTTGCCAGTGACATAGGCAGCAGTCTAAAAGTGGAAGTCCGGAGACCTTTTCCATGCTTTTACAATACATTTAGAGTGTCAGTATATACACTTGAAGTGCTAGGTTAAAGTGCATTTTTCTACAATTTCCATCACTAGATAAAGGCAAATACTGCCTTTTAAATTTTGTTTATTTGGTGTTAGAAACAACAAAGACTGAAATATAATGGAGACAAGTTATAATCTTCTCAGTTCTTTATTCCAAAGAACCAAGTTCTAATGGCCTGGCATTGATTCTCATTCAGAGGTGCTGAGTGAGAATCTGCAAAAAATGAAATCTTCCATTTTGTATGAAAGTCAGAATTTTAAAATTGTGTAAGGAGAACCTAAATTCTCAAAGACAAAGAAATGCCTATACATTGCACATGCATATACATTTCCATACTTGCTTTTGGAAATACCAGTAGACTGTAATGTACTTGTCAATATTTTTCATCAGTATAATACCTCAAAATGATTCAATATTGTTTCCAAAGTTTGATCTCTTCATAGTTATTCAAATTGCTTTCTGCTAAGGCCCAAGAATTCCAGAGCATTGCCAGCCTTGAGCTTATCCTGTAAAAAACAAAGCATAGACATGTGTGTGTATATATTTATATGTGCGTGTGAGCTGAAATCACATTTAAGTCAAGTGATTTTTCTCATGCTTGTACTCATCCTTTAAAACATTCTGGTGAAGGTCTGTAATGGGACTAAAGGGCCTCTTGCCATATTTGACATCAGTGCACTCCACTGATTCTTCCATGTTTTATCAAGGAGCTAAAACCAGAGGCTTAAAATGGAAAAAGAACAAATGTAAAGATTATACCTTCAGTTTATTGTCGAACTCTTCCATTGAATCAATCAATTTTCCAGGTTCCAGTTCCCCCAGTGGAAAAGGATAATCTGTCCCCAAAATAACTTTGTCCTGGTAGTAAGGAAACACGTTGTACATCTTGTAGTAATGTTAAATAATATCATTAAACACATTTTCTGGATTTTTTTTAAAAAAAAACACAGGAAACTACATCTATTGGACTGATTAATTACAAAAGAAGATGAGAAAGTAGATTACAGTTTTCATTAGGAAAAAACATAAACATTGAAAACAAGGACTCAGAGTTTTCTTCATTTTATACAAACAATATTGAGTGAAGTTTGGGTGAAGTTTGAGAAAAGTACTGAATGTTTGTTAATGTTTATGTGATGTCTAACTAAACTTTGGTATATTTCTTATATTTTTATTTTAATGCACAGAAAGTTCAAAACGCAAATCCCAGGCACATGGAAAGCGTGTGTATTGCTTGGATGACTATGATATGAAAAGCATTCTCCTTAACAGATGCATTCTCTGTATGCGCTGTGGCTTCGAAATGCCAAAGTCAAGGACTTTATTGTTCTGTTGTTCTACCTGTAGTTACATGGTTATGCAGTCCCACAATTAAGTGCCTGATAAAGAGAACATAGGCTTCTTCCTTATGTTTATTGACTTACTTTTTGGTTCTTGTTCATGTTCAAGGTTACTTGCATGCGCTGCACTGTTCTGTGCAGTCCGAAAAACACAAAAATCATGACTCTGATCTTCTCTATAGATTGTCAAGTGACCTGCAAAAGCAGGCCAGAAAAAAATCTTGTATTTTACATTGCATTCATTGACTGACAGGAGGTCATTCCTGATAGCCTTGTACATAAATAACTAATTCCAGTGTGTAAATAACATTTGAGCTAAACCAGTTTTTTCTGAAGATCCAACCTTGCTATAGGTCTGACATAAGGGAATTAAAGGCACATTTCTTCATGAAACTCAGGAAGTTCTTCAGCAAACTCAGGGAAGACACTTGGATTTGGATTCTTAAATATGAAATTCTTAGTTATACATCCATATAAAATTATATAGCCACAGAATATATATCTTTTCTGTGTGTTTTCTGCAACCTGAAGCTACTTCAACCATTGGACAATATAGAATTACTACAGAATTTTAAATACAAATTATCTATTTAATTTAAATAGTATTCAGCTTCAGATATTACAATTGAAATCTTCATTTACAAAATTTCATACTTTTGGGAAGTCTTTATTAAAAAAATACTTATGTTTGACTGGGATTTTTTTTTATTATTTTTATTTTATTTCTAGTAGATGCCATCCAAGAGTTTCTGAAATAACCTACCTAAGACTGTATAGGAAAATTCAGCAGAAGATACAGATTTTGTTGTTCTGTCCTACATTGCTGCAATATAATTTATTACAGAATTCTTGCCTTAAAATACAAGTAGGATAATTTATATTCCTTTGTCTAGTAAATCAAGTTCTGAGTATAGATTAGGAGATAATATATTTGGTTGTGCATATGTTTAGACAAACATACATCCTTTTATTTATAATATTCTATGTGATACCAAGACATTTTTCTGCACATATGTAAAACAAATATATGACTTAGACAAAAGAATAAAAAAAAATAGCAGCTCTGTTACAGAAATGGATTTCTTGGTAAGGGAAAGGGAAATTCAGTGCCTTCCTAGGAGGTTACTGGTCAAGGTTAACTAGGGCAGGAAAGTTCTCACATTCTTGTTTACATTTTCACATATACCAGAGCAGAAAGAAATGATTGGAATAATCTGTATACATTACACAGCATTTCATAGCTAATCTTGTTCCAGTCATTAGCAGTAAAATTAAGAGCTGTAAATTAATGAGAAAATCTAGAAATGGCCTTGTTGTTTTGCTACAAATGGTATTAGGCTGTTAACTGAAACTCTCTGAGCTTCAGTTTTGTACACATCTATAAAGTGGGGATTGCAATACTTGCCTTTAAGAACAGCCTCAGATAAGTACTGTGAGGTCTCTATAGATAAATACTGCTAGCATGTCAGTTATCATGATATTATTCCAAAGGGTACCACAAAGTCTGTTTTCCATAGATGATTTATAGTCTGATATCTTAATAATTCACATCTCCTTTTAGAAAGGTTTATATTTACATTGATCAACCTCAGTGGTCCCATCTAATCATCAGAACTATATAACTTTTTTTTTCCACAGTAACAAAGACCTGAATCTTAAAGAGAATCTCAAAGCCTCAGTCATGAGTTATTCCGTTTACACTAGTATTTTGCCTTCAACCTCATCTTCTTTTACTACTATCAGAACACACTTCAAGAAAGGCCAGATGGTTGTAGCCCATTCAGCTCTGATTTCTGGTCAGAGCATATTTTACATTCCGAGGAAGGCTCTTGGGGAATCACCATGGGGATTTTTTTTTAGAGATACACTGAATCATTTAATCCCCTGTCAGCCCAGTTCTTCCCTCCTTATAGCCATATTAGCCATAGTTGTATTCACTGCATGTTGCCTTGTGAAGGAGGAAAGAACTGCAGTAATTTTGCAGTCTTACATTTTTTTTTTTCTCAGAAAATGTGTATTTCTGCTTCCTTTAGCTGGGATTGGTTCTAGGCTACAAATTAGCCTGCACCGAAAAGAAGGAAAAGATGAAGTTAAAGGTACATGACTCATGAGAACAGTCTCTGGATTTTAATATTCATAAGTTCAAAGCCAACTCATCACACTCTGATGTCAGGTAATGGCTGATCCCTAAGGATTTTAAGCCATGTTTATGCACCTCTTTACATATACCTGATGCCCTTCCTGCTCAGCTCTCAGCTTTCATCCTCTAGAGACCTGTCCTATTTTAAAACCTCAGCTGGTAAAGTTACAGTGTCATCCACAAGACCCTGTGGATAACACTGTTTTTAGTCCAGCATTTATTCATTCTATATTTATTATTCTGCCAACACTCATGATTTCATTGAGATATTGTGGCACCTAGCGCTTTTTTAAGCCCTTGACCCTTGGAAATGTATTACGTGGGAGTGTTAACTTTCACCAGAAAACAAAGCAAGTTTTTATTCCCCCTTGTTATACAGGAAAGCATGGAAACATGATTTGAATGTTTTGCTTTTTTCAAGGATAAGATGCTTTAGGCTGTGAAAAAAACCCATAATGTACCGTTTTTCCTTTTTTTTTTTGAGGGTTAAAATCATTTATGTTTTGGGGTTCTGACTCATGACTTTTCAGCACTGTGGCTGTGCAATATCACAGCACTGCTTATTTAGATAATCCGCTAATCTGCTGCTTATTTAGATAAATATGTTTCTCTTATCCCATCCACTATAAGAAGAAAAAAGCAAGTCTCATTCCAGTGAGACAAAGCAAGATATCATTTCAAATTACCAAGTATTCTCACTGGAATGAGACTTACTTCTTTCTTGACAAATCTGTCATGACTTCCAAGTGCTTCTTGACATTTTTTGTTTGATTTTGTACTTAAAATAATTAAATAGTTTTCCATTATACATGCTCAGCATGTTCCCTACATGAAATACGTTCTGTAGTTTATGTATTTAACTAATTCTACAAACTTCCAAGTTCTCTCAGGGACTTGGGGTGGATTAAAGCCTGCATTTCAACCTGCTATTTTTTCCCGTTTTTTCTGAAAAAGACCAGAATTCTGTTCCCACTTCATCTTATGAGTGCTATTATGGATAAAGAGTTCTTTGAGAATGAGAATATTAAAATATTATAAAATTGTTTTATCAGCACATTACTGACTCAAATATAAAGTCATGTCACTGTTAGGATTTTAACAGCTCATGTGGATAAAACAGGCTGTAGGTTGTTTTTCTGGTCTTGGAGTTTTCTGGGCTCAGCTACCCAATACTGCTCAAATCTTTCCAGTACAGGATAGCTGCATTTGTTCTGCGGTTTGTATTAATGTACATTCTGCAGGACTGTTCTGCTGCAGTACATTCTCCAGAATGTTCTAAGGGTAACAAAATTTAGCCCAAAAGATGGTGCTCAGGTCAAATATCAAATGACTGCTTTCTGCCGCATAAGGAAAAGTCTTTCTAAAGACCAGTGTTAACTGGGAAGGTTCTTTGGCAGAGGTTGAGCCATCATGAGTTGAATATAGTTACGGAGAATCTTTTTTCCCAAAGTTACAGACTAAACAAAGGGGCAAATGGTTGTTAAAAAGATTGTACATTGCAATGTGTTTACATTATTTCTTGATACTGTGTAAAAATATAAGTGCCAGATTGTGCCAGATAAGTGCCAGTGGAAAGAAACACAGGCATGAAAGCCAAAATGCTTTAGCGAACGAAGAAGTTACTTTGCTGTTCTAAGTGTCATCTCAATGATATGTAAGTGATTAAGGGACAAGGGATGAGTGAGGTCATTAGAAACAAAAGTGCAAAGACAGTTTGTGAACCTGTGAACCTGTGGAAATACACTTGATGTAAAATAATTGTACAAATTAGGATGTTATTTGGCTTTTTCACCTTTTCATTTTCCTTCAGTAATTCCTTGTCTCTGGCAATGCTTTTATACTGAGAGAGATGATACTGCCGTTCTTATCAGAGACTATTATTATCGTGTGGGCAGGCACAACTGTGTTCAGTTTTAACTGTGTTAAAAGCCAAATAGACATATAGGTGGATATTTAAGCAACACTGGTATTTCACAAGCAGAGCTGTGAAGTGGGAAGTGGATGATTTGAAACATTACAGTGATTGTTTTGGATGTTTCTGTCCCACACTGTATCTGATTTAAAGAGGTTCATAAACGACTAAGATTTACTCACTTTCTACTACAACTAAAATATTTTCCAAACCATAACTAATGTGTTACCTAGGATCTCCCCAAAATTCTCTTTATTGCTATTTTTTTCTGCCTACAACTTCTCAAGTAGAAATAATACTTGCTTTCCTCAAGTATACACTTGAATTTGAAATTTAAACCCTTTGAAAACAAGGCTCCAAATAAGACAGCCTTTGCTTGCAGTCCCATCCTGACCAACCTTACAAGAGGAACTAGCATCACTGAAGTGATGTTCACAGTGCATAATTTAATGGATTAAAACAACCATTTCAAGAACTCCATGTAGCAGAATTATCAACATGACCCATTTATAAAAGCTCAGGTTCTGATTTTACTGAGTGAATATGCTGTCTTCTTTCTGCTTTTTTCTCTTGTTTTGCTTTTTCTTAGAGAACAAATTAAATACAGAATGACTGACCTGCCTCTGGAGGCATTAAAACTCACCTCTCCTATTACATTTGTTAGTAGCCTCAGTGCACCGTGATCATGGACGAGAGAGTCTGTATAAAATGAACCAAGGTACTTTCTTGGATCCACCTCATTATCCACTGCACACAAATCAGGGCGCATATTGAATCCGTGGGAGATTCGCCCCACTGTGTATGGAAAAGATCCACCTGCAAGGAGAAATTTTTAGTAACAGAGGCTAAAAAAACTCAAGGGAAGAAAAAAAAAAACAAACTATTACCAGCACAAAGATCCGCAAGTTTTAGTAACGGTTACTTAGGAAAAAGAAATATGTTCTGTATCAGCAATATTCCTTCCCTTGTTATGTTTCTTTTCTCTTTTCTGCAACTCTTCACTGCAGTGAACCCCAAATTCTTGCTGCTGACTCCTTGTCCCTTTCCCTAATTGTTTCAACTACCTCCTGCTGCCCATAACTCCTACCCCTTCCTTCTCGCTTCCTCTAAAGTGCTCCTTAAATAGTTCAAACACAGGCTGAAACAGGCTGCAGAGTGTTCATATGAGCAAACTAGCTGGCAGAAATCCTCACTGGAGTAATATAGCATTCAGCTGGTGTCAGCCTTAGACCATTAACCCCATTAGCTGGCATATGAGAAAATAAAACTGCACCATGCTCAACTACAGTTTCACAAAGTGTATTACTTACCTCCATGTGCGAAGCAGACTTTCAACTTAGGAAATTTTTCAAAAATTCCTCCCATAATCATGGAGCAAATGGCTATGGTGGTTTCTGTTGGCATGCCTATCAACACAAAGAGCCTTATCATATACGGACAAAGACTGAGTTACAACAGGCCTTAAACCTAGTGCAAAAATGACTTTACAGTGCTGCATTATTTCCATTAGAGGAACACTGAACTGAGTATTAATTAACTTTAATGAGAGCACAGAACTAGAAGCTAAGATTTTATGAATTCAAAAGCCCATTTTTTATGTACTTAGGAGACAAGGGAATACAAGACTGTGTTGCTAGTTTTATTCATTTTAGGTCTCAATATAAAAGATAAAGTATGCAGGCTTAAAAAAAAAAAAGGTTGTATTTTCACAACAGGCTTAATAGTAGTTTTACTCTGTACTAGAACCTTTGCAAAAATCTCCTGGGCATAATTCAGTGACAGTTTGTAAATATAGATTAAGCAATGCACTCACCTACCAGCCAGGGAAGCCAGTACTTGGACATCCTTCCATCTACCTGCATGTCCCAGGGATGCACAAAGAGACAGCAATTCAATTGTTCAGCAGCCTTCAGCAAAGAGAAAAAATGTTAGTTGTGACTTAATCTAACAAAACCTACTTTCTTAGCCACGCTTTAAAGATTACCTGCAAAGTTGTACTGAATATCAATTATTAGTGATGAAAATAGGCCCAGAAGTGAAAACCATAATCAATAGGACCTTATATTTAGTCCTCTGGTCTATATCCTGAAGTTCCCACTTGCACTCAAAGTTCTTTTTGAGACTACTGGTTTGGAAACACTGATTATAACATTTTATTCTTAAGGTGCTCCTCCAATTAATGTGGTAGAAAAATGCTTTTTTTTTTTAGCTGGGTGTATGCCACACGCATCCTGCAGTACAAAACTTGGTTCAAACGAGCTTTGTTTTGATTTCGTTTCACATGAAGGGATGAATTCTCAGAATATTTTCTAGATAGAATGATTTTACAGAAGTGTTCCAGTTACATTCAGGAATTTCCATTGCTATCACACTGTATTTGTTGCTTTTGGCCTGCTGCCTGACTTAAAAAATACTAGACCTTCTTTAGCCCACCTAATAGCTAGAAACCTGGTTGCATTCTGAGCAATAAACCATCTCCACTGAAGCACATTACATTTTCCAAACTGCTGACATTTTCAGAAAGGAAAACAAAGGAGCTATATGAGATACTAATCCTGATTGAGTTATTTAACTATGTGCTTAAATTAAATAAATCAGAGCCATTCACATGCTTAACCATTTTTTTAACAGCTTCATTTTGTCAGATGCATTTCTGGACCTCCTTTCGTTGCTATGGATTTATTTACCATTAAATGCATAAATAAAGCTGTAACTTATAGACTTTAGGAAGTAATTGTCATCTAGATTTGTAAGCTAAAGCTAGCAATTCAATAACTGTCCTGATGGTTTGATAAAGCTCATTATCCAATATGGTTTTATTTCACAATCTCTGTTTTCCAAAGATGCTTCTAAAGGTGATAGAGGGTTACTTCCTGCATATGTTAAACACAAGCTGAAGAATGTGTGTATCTCCAAAAGTAGAAGCTGATACATTGTATGACCAAATAAATTGTCCAGATGCTGTGCTAACAGAATTCTTGAATAAATTGAGTTTTGAGAAATAACCTCTATGAATCAATTTCAAGGTGACAGCTTTAATAACCTCTAAAGCAGATACAGAATGTGCATTGATTAAATCCCATAATTTAGACAAATGAGAGTCCCCATCTGGGCCTCAGGCTGTTTAAGAAATGCAATCTATGAACTCATCTTACAATTAATACATTCAGTTTAGAGTTTTTGGTCTCATTTGCATGAGTCTGTGTGGTACTTTGGCTCTATAGGTATCTGACCCTGACATCTCTGAAAATCCCAGAGAACTTTTTTCAATTATCTCAGTAAGATTGGATATAACAACTTGAATACAAAAGCAAACACAACAGAAATGCCTTATTTGATATTGCAGCATGCTCAGGAACCAAGAAGGCTACTTTTTACAAAGAAAACTCATAAAAATATTATTTATTTTATAAAGTATGCTTCACAATGCTTTATTTCCTATTATTGTCATTATATCCTGTAATGAATTACCATATATAATTAAAACCTAAATTCTCTGATCACTGAAGAATAGCCATGCGTAACTGCATGATGTGCAAATGGGATTGTTCCTGAAAAATGCCAATTTTACATTATTTGCACCTGAAAAGTCATTGATTTCGTTGGACTAAATAAGAAATCTGGAATCAAACACTATCAGAGTCCTATGATCTTGCTGCTTTTTCATTGTCTAAAATGGATCTGGATCAATGAATCCACCAAAAAAATTAAAAAAAAAGATACACATTCTCCTTTCTTTTAAATTGCATAATTTTAAATGAATATTCTTATTAGTTTGATTTCCCAGTTATTAATGGAAGTTAGTGAGGCTGTTTGGTAAATACCTTTCATTTACACTAAATACATTGGAAGGATCAATTATTTTAATGGACCTATCAATTTAGCTGATGACTGAATATGGTATAAGGGATTTTTAGGTAAAATTCCATGTCACAGAATTTCCCTAACTAAAGAAAGAAACATTTACTCACAGCATAGATGTCATACATTTCTGGTGCATTCAGGTCCCATTCATTGACATGAGATCCTATTTGTACTCCAGGAAATCCAAGTTCATTCACACAACGATGCATTTCCTTCACAGCCAGGTCTGGAGCTTGCAAAGGTAATGTACCCAAGCCAATAAACCTCTTGGGGTACTTTTTTACTGTAGCAGCTAAGTCATTATTTAATATCTGGGATAGATCTAAAGTGTCCTGAGGTTTGGCCTGGTATGATATTAAGCAGAATAATACATTAAAATAAAGTTTTCAAATGTTATCACCTTTGGAAGATACTGGGTAAATGTCACTGCACACAATATAGAGAGAAGGCTTGAATTTAGAATTTTACATTATGGCAAGATGAAAACCAGTAGGACTAAATTGTGCCTCGCTATGAATCTTCTGGGTACAGTTCTTGTCTGGAATATAATATCAACTGCTTTTCCCTTTATTGCTAAGGCTCAGTATAATCTAGCCCAACTTGGGGATATGCTTAAGTTTGCAGTCTTTTTGTGTCAACTGATCTTCTGGTTTTGATTATAGAAATGCAAAAAGCTGAGCATATCTTTTTAAATATAGCAATGAATATCTAATCCCCTATTACTGGAGCTAGAAAGAGAAAAATAAGAGATATGGGATGCTGGAGCATGAGAATTTTGTAGCAAAATTTTGAACAAAGCTCTCTAATGACAGTTATATTTGTAATGAAGAAACTACAATACCCATACAATTAATTAGTTTCCTTTTTTTTTTTCCCATAGAATATATTAAAGGACAAAAACTTCCAGAAAAATCAGAACAAAATTTTAAGATACGTAATGCAAAAAGGAATTTCAACATCAGTGGTGCTACTTACATATGGGCTTAACATGATGGTTTTTTAGTGTAGGATACCTGGTTTGCACATCACAGCTTGATTTCTACAAGCAGCTAAGTAGTCAAATTGAGAATATATTTTGAATCACAATTTGCTATGATTTATCTTCTCAGACTTTATTTCTTTGGTGTATTCAAGATCACCATACATAGAATATATTTAAATTTGTGTCTGAATTTTATGATTCAGAGTATTCTAAGGTAGTGAGTTCTCCTCCCATGACATGTTTAAAAGAAGGTGGGATTAGGCTGCAAATGCACCTTTTATTTGTTCTTTTCATGAAAAAAATAGATTCATATTTAACTTCCAAGGAATCAACCCATAATTATCCTGCTACATAACAGATTCGTGCTCTGTAGGTTCTCTCTCTGTGCTGGCATCTACTTCTGACAAAATCTCCATCAGAAATTTGATTGCCCTCTCATTCTTTTTTACGAGCATACTCCAGAGTGGAACTTTGCCAGGATATCCTGCTGGCGATTTCAGGATTTGGACTATTTTTTCTTTTGTTTTTTTCAGAGCAGAACAGCTCCCCGTTTACCTCAGTGATCTAAGTATTACTTCCGTCACCTAATTGACAGGAGTTTGCACTTTAAGATAATTTGTAATATTTATAAATTACAGAATATGCTAGTAGAAACCTACCCAGTAGCTGAACATTACAGGAACTGTAGAAAGGACTTGGACTGTGACACCTGTGAAAGAAAACAAGCAGTTATTAATATTACATACATACCTTTTTTGATAAAATGATAAAAGAAAGGACTTTTGTTTGAAGTGGATAGCCATTTAAAGTTGTAAGTTGTAACATGCATGACTTAGGACAGTGATCAGTTCTTTCTCCATAGTGCTTTTACTGATTCCTGTGTTGATATGTACCAACACTGCATTTGACCTCACACTGCTTTGGAATACCATAGTGTTTTAATAGTAACAAGTCTCTCTCTATATGATCCTGTTTACCAAACTATTTGTTTCCTAGCTTTCTCTTCCATTTCTGTTCCCTATTTCCCTAGGATTCATTAATGGTCACAATCTACCTGACTTCTTTTGGACTGAATTGCTCAAATTCTTTTTCATGCAAATTCATTTCTTTTACTCCTAGTTGTTGATCAACTTATCCTTGAAGACATGAGAGAGATGTTCAAGTATTTTTCAATATTAATTGATGGAAAATGAACTCAGACTATTTAGCAGTTCATATCCCTTTTGTTATTTACTTCTTCTTGTGACCGATATGCAAACAAATCAGCATTTAGGAGCCTCAGTGTTCTGATTTTTGAAGTAAAACAGAATGATCCTTAACTTAAGAGGGCTCGTTTCAGATTTTTGAGTCACAGAACAATTCCAATAATCCAGATTTCTGCCTTGCATATTTATTAGAGAGATCTTTTAAACATCATATTGACATTGCTTTTTGAAAGATGAATTACAAAACAATTTAACATTAATCTTAAGAGTAGATTTCTATGCTGAACATTCTCGGACAGTATACTTAGGAAGAAGGTAAACCAGCACAGGAAAAATCTATTTAAGAAATGTTTTCCCTTAGCTTTCCGAATCCTCTCTATGCAGTCTGATTAGTGATGATATACCTTAATGTCAGGCATGAAATTAGTAACTGTACTGCTGTGATGACACAGAGAATAGGAGACTTCCCATATCTTTGTTCCAGAATTGTGATATGTTTGGGGGTTAATATTTTGGGCATAATCTACCTTGCTTTTTGTTACACAAAGTTGTCTTTGAAGTAAGCAGCTACAGAACAGAAAAAGAATAAAACATGGCCCATATTCTTTACCACTAGAAGGATAAGAATGAAAAGCTCAGTAAGATCTTTGGTTTTATATTTATTGGCTGAATGGCAGTTTCTCTAGAGTGCTGCAATGAAAGAAGATTTTTTATGGGAAAAGCCGCCAGATGGTGCTGTAGGACACAGTTTTAGATTCTTTTTCTTAACAAATGAGCACTGTTTTATGTAGTCTGTGGAAGAATATGTTTTGTTAGTTTTATGAAACATTTTCTTTTTGGAGAGCTGTTGCAAATAGTTGAGAAATTCCCCCTGTGTTTTCCTTTTACGTAGAGGAATTAGATGGGGCAGAATTGTTTTACAAAACCTTGCCATTAGTGCTGGAAAAGCATATCAGAAAGGAAAAGATGCCAAAGGGCTATTTATGATTGTGGTTGAGAAAAAGAATGGTTAGTCCCAAAATGTGATTGCATTTTGTGTAAATATACCCTAACTGGACATAACTTAGTTAATCCCAGGAATGATTAAAATCTTGTCAAGGCAGCACAAATTTTAGAGATGTTGTACAGGCATTCTAGGCATTCCACATGAAATGCTGAATGGTTAAAGTTTGAAATATTTCTCCAGTGTGCAAACAGTAATTTTTAAATTTTCTAAGTAAGTTGTGTTTACATAAATGCCCATCACCCCTACCTTATGTATCTCAGACTAAAGCTCAACTGGGAGAAGGACCTGAAGTGTTTCCTAACATGCTATCACCAATGCAATAATCACAAATACACTATTTTAAAAATATGTGCTCTTCAGAAGAATTCAAGTGTATTTGTTCTTTTTGAAAAGTTGGAAAAGCTACTCAAGTACAGTCTACTGAAGAACTGATGTAAGGAATTATTCCAGTTAAGTTAAAGAAAATATATTATTTAATAACTACATATTACTCTCACAAAATATATTTGGAATTAGGGTATTAATCATACTAAAAAATTTCTATCAATCAGACTAAAAATTCCTTCTCTCAATCTCTTATGGTTAACAGCATATCAAAGGCCTGTGGAAAATAAATTTGCTAAGTGTAGTTTCTTTCACAATCAGGAAAACTCTCTTTCCTGAGAAAGTAATTGTACCAGTTATCTAGGTTCAGATTTCTTTATCAAAAACAGAATAATGTTGCAACATCTATATAGAAAAAATGGTAGAAAAGGAAATATATATGCAGAAAATTCTAGGCGTAAAAAGGTTGTTTTTAATTTTGAGATGCACTAACAGAGAAGTTGGTATTATCCTGTGCAAGACAGGAATGATTTCATTTCCTTTATGAAATTACCTGATAGGTCCATCTCTTTAATCCGTATTTCTGGATCCCAGCAGTTTTCTTGAATAACTCTAAAAACCTTTCCATCCTTCATCATCTTTGCCTGTCCCTGTGAAATGACATTTTCATATTTGTTATATCTGACAAATTGGTACATGCTGAATTATAGAGTTGCTTGAGTATATTATGCTCCCTAAATAAATTCAGTGACAAAATATAGTTCTTTAATATATAATCAGTAGATATTACTTAATCAAAGACTATTATAAAATATCATGTATAGTTCAGATGACATGAATAAATATGTATATTTTCATAATAAAAAGATCTCTTTTTTATTGCAATGTTTATCTCTCCATGTTTGTTTGAGAAAGCTATCAGGTATCTTAATCAAGGTTTATCCTCAAACCAAAATTTGACCTCAAAACTGTGCTCAAATTAAATATGAGCTAAATGTTGCCCTTGGGGATGTGTGTGTTCTTTTAAAGTCAATAGTATCAAAATGAATCCAGTAAGTATAGAAATAATTGTGTAACTGTTAAATTCATTCCAGTTGTTTCAGATCACCTGTGAAACAAAGACAAAATGAGACCTAATACACTTGTCCTTAGATTACATTTTCTCTGTGGGACTGAAAGAAAAGAAATATGGAAGATTCTGTATTTGGGGAAGTAAAGATCAAAGAAAAATCTAAACACAGTATAGAGTGATTACATAAATTAGTGTAATACCTTCCCCGAATAAACTAATTCCCAACTTAGAAAGTTCAAGACATCATCATGGTCATCAAACTTGATACCAATCCCTTAATTATTAAAATTGAAGTGTTTTTTAATTTTTAGTGGATTTGACATTTGTCCAAAGATGACAAGCACAGTGTTGTTACATTAAGTCAAGAAAAATATTTTTTAAAGTTGCATGCAGTCGCATGCTTGTAATTAGAATTAGCAATTCAATACCAAATACTACTGACAGAAGTATTTCACTTAGCTTACACACACTGAAAAGATGCAATTCATCAATCTTTGCAAGCTTTAAGTATTTTTTTGTTGTTCTAGGCTACTTTTGCCATAAGTGGAAAAAGATGGAAGTGAGATCATTCACATAACCCTTACACTGTGGGATATGTGTCTATGGGATAGGTAAGTGTGGTCATGCAGCAGAAAAAATACTGAATCTTCAGTTAAAAACTGACAACCACATGATAAGATGTGAGAAAGCAGAACAGTTACTTTTTTATGTTCACAGTAAACAGAAGCTGAGTGCACTGCAGTCTTCTGATCTAGGGAAGGGAACTATGTCTCCCAAATGCTGATTTATTAAATCAGTTTAGTTAGGAAACACACAACATCTGTCTATCTTGATATATAAAAATCTGCCAAATCAGATCCTGCTAGTATTCTACAATAGAAATAATTAATAATATTTCACTGCTTATTGCAAAGTTTACTTTATGTCTCCTTTTTCTGAGAAGTCAGACTGTTCTTAACCTTGAATTTGTTATTAGCTTCATACATCATTCACAAATACACTGCCCTAATGAATATTTTAAAGGTCTCTTTCACATATCTAATAGTGCTGCCTTAGCAAACTGTCAAGTTGGTAGGTATATTACAATTTCGAAAAAATACTTGAAATATTACAGTCAGTTATCACAACTACATTGCCCTGATCCTCTGGCAAAATACTTCAGATTTTGATAAAATTGATTTTCCAACCTGACAGAAAGGTTTGCACTAGCCAAACGCTCCAATATATTTAATTTTTTTTTTTTTGCATATAGTCTAATAAATAGAAAAGAATTTGGAGTGTGAACATAGGAAAGGACACAGCAGAACTGAGCATTATGTCAAACACAAGCAGATCATGTGGCCTTTATTAGATTACCACTGGGAGTATTTCTGTGAACACAGGCAACTTCCTCAGATACAGCAAAGGCATAGCAGCCAAACTGCTTACATTTATTTTCTTCTGCTAATACTGAAAACAACATTAGGCAGGCAGTAATTCTACCAGCAACCTTCACAGTGCTCATACATAAATGCTGAGATGAACAGTAGGTCACTTCATTCTGTTAACAGCCATCACAGTATAGAAGTTTCTAACAAGATGTACTGTTCTCATTAAATAATTAGTTAAACAGTTTGTTGTTTTCATTTGCATTAGCTGATTCTTTGTGATCATGAACATGCTGCAGGTCATGCCTAAACTCACAGCTTTGTGCGCAGACAACAGCGAAGTTGGTTATGCAGGAAAGCATAATGTGCTAATTTGAATAAATCCATGTGGATCAGTGGGATTATTCATGTATCGAGGGATAGAACGACCTGCTGCAACAACATTGGGCCTGCAAAATCAGTCCTATTACTATAGTCTCTAGACACTGCCACTAATCTGCACCTGTCATTTTTCAAATGAGAAATTACTCAAGCACCTTAATTGGGAAACAATTTTTGCAGTAATAAGAATAAAATCTGATCAAGAAGAATGTTTTTAGGTTCCAAGGCAATGGGTGCAAGGTTGAAGCCCTCATAAAAGACCTAAGATCTTTACTTGCAGTGGTAACACACTTTTCTAAGGGCACAGCTGAAAAATTTTATTATATCTTTATTAAAAGCCATGCAATATTTAATATCCTAAAGAATTTATGAAGAAATTAAGAGAGTTTTAAGAGGTTTAAGAAGCACAGCAGGTTGATTTAGTTCAGCAAGCTACATCTGAATTTATTCCATTAATAAACTACTCAGTTACAGCCCAAATTGCATGCATGCAATTTCAGACATTGATGCTTCTGAACATGTGAATGTTTTCCTTTTTTTTTTTTTTATCTTGGGAGTTAACTTCCCCAGCTCCACATATTTACACAGGATTTTATTCTCTATCATGCACTTCTTTCATGTAGACAGAAGTAGGCTGGAGAGAACTCTCTGCGGAGCATGGAAGGCTATTATCGACTTGCCACAAAGTTCCTTTGCAGGCTATTTTTAGCAAAGAATTTCAGCACCAGACCTCTACTAAACAGCTAAGCTGCTAAAAATGCCTTCAAGTCTCTCTCCTTCCTGCATCTGCCATCTATCTCAGAAGCTGTGCCATCTGAACTTCTGCTTAGCAGGTGGCTTCTTATCTCCTCCCAGTCCTGCTTAGAGTGAAATCTGAACAAAACTGATGAAATCTGGAATTTCATCATAATCTGTTTGCTCCTCCATCTTGGTCCCTAAATAGCTGATAGGCATGTGACAGCACAAACTTGCATATTGTAGAATGACAGCAATCTGTATGCCATTTAGCTTGGAATAAACATATACAAAGTTATATCCATAATTTTTAGTTACCATATGCATACCTGCAATTACAAAAAAAAAGTGATTTTCCAAAGTAACAAGGGGATGGTTTAGTTCCATTGAAATTAACAGAAATTATACACTTAAATACCTTGTTTATCCGAAATATATGTCTTGCTTCTTCAAAATAATTAAATAATAATTAAAAAATGCATCTCTACAGAGAATGAAGGAATTAGTCAAATCAAAAAAAGAAACAACAAGAAAAAGATTGGGCACTATAATCTCTATAAGCCTATCTCAAATATGGAGTAGAGATGTCACTTCAGAAAATTCTAGTTACTAAGTATTTGTATCTCTTATGCCTGTACTTGTCATTACAGAATTCCATTATAGAGATCATGGCTAAACTACAGAGGACAGGTCAGATCAACCCTTGTTAAACACACTACACATGCAACTGGCCATTACAGGACATAGCTGGGTTTAGCCAGTTATTTATATTGCAACCTTTACAAGCTTCAAGGCGGGTGTGTGCTGACACTCTTTGTCAAGCTATTCATCTTTGCACCTTTTGTCTTGCAGCTTACTATAACCAGGTTGTTCTTATCCACCCCTTCTCTGTTCTCCTTTTTCCTTAATTATCTGGCTAATGCCTTGTATTGCCTTTACTCTTCAGTATCCAGGCACACAGCAATGCTCCTGAGGTAGGCAATCACAGATGGAATTTCTCAAGTTAGGACAGGTATATGTGAGGTGAGGAGGGAAGTGAACTCAGGTCTGAGAGCTCTTCCATAAAACACCTTTCTCTTCCCATCCGTAAGGAAATCCTGAGCCCAGGTCCAGCATTGACTAAATCTAATGGAAAATTTCCCATCTCCGATAATTAGACCAGCACCCTCACATGAGCTTGCTTTTTCTCTTGGGTCTACTTACCTTGCACTATTGACCTATAACTGTTAAGATGGAAAGGAAAATATTTTCCATGTGTAGTAAATGTCATGCATATTTATGCACTATAAAACAAACCTGGGACCTCCACCATCCTGCCCTGCTGCTGGCATGCTGATGGAGGGACAACTTTCCTGCTTTTGGGCCTGAAGCCATTCACATCAACAGCCTCACCAGAGCATGGGGAGCCAACAGGTCATAGAAGAAAATTGGCTTCCTGTGACAGTGTTTGAGCTATATAGCTGTATCTGGCGAAGTTGTTATATGGTAACAAACAGAGGGCTTATCTTTAAAACTAGGTTATAAAATTAATCTATATGGTAATGTATATTCTTTTACCATGCTATTCCTGCCCTCCTATGAAAAAACAGCATGGTGGTTATTTTTTAATGTCAATCAAATCAAAAGACAAGATGCATTACTGATCTTGCTTATACCAGTTTTATATTATTGTGTCACTGTAAATGTCATTGTAATTACTGCTGATTTGTTCTACTGGAGGTGAGATCAGAATCAAGCCTCTAAGAAACCTGTTTTGCTACCATCAGACTGAATAAATGTATTCTACTAACTGCGTTAGCAGCAGGCCTGGATTCTGAATGCGGATGGACTGTTAGCATTGCCTCATGGCATTTGCAAATACGATGTTCCAGGTATTCTTATGTACCTCAGAAGTGTCTTTGTAAAGTTAACAGAGTGAATGGTGATATAGAAAAATCGCATCCACTCTGTCTTTTGCTTGCCAAAGAAAATCAGCCTCCTACTCTTTTACAGTATGGTCTCCAAACCTATATATTGTCCCTGTTGTTCTTGGATATTGAAACTGCAATTTCCTTTCATCCAGAAGATATATGGAAGTTATTCTTTCTTTTTGATGACAATTTCATGTCCTAGCTCTTGATGTTTTATTAAAATATCAGTCTCAGTTATGTTTGTTTCTCATACAGACAACTACATATAAGTAAAAAAGTTCAATATGTAATGAGTTTTAGATTAGGACATCTTATTAAAAATAATTCTTTAGAGATATCCATTCTGAATGTTAACATATAGTGATGAGGAAAACTGGATACTAGTTCAGATGAGAGAAACTGAACTGACTGTATACTGAGTAACACCTCTTAAACAACAAGATCTACTGAATAGATGGGACTAATAATTGCTTAACAGAAGACAGACCTTTATAGAAATTTCTATCAAAGACATCATCAATCTTATTGCCATTTAGCTGTGAATGAGTATTCCTGATCACTGCACAAAACTATCTCAGAGGACCAGACAGCACAAACCTTGCAGTGATGATCCACCTGAACCCATCCACCATATCCGTATCTCTGTGAAAGAAAAAAGGAAAAAACAGTGACTAGTTAACATTCTGTAATAATAATCAGAGCCTTACAATCAAGCTTTACCTTTTTCAGGAGAAATACTTAAGCGTACGCTCAGTTTTGAGCCTCTGAGTAGCTCCTTTGATTTCAGCAGAATTGCTGAGGATTCGCTGGACTGGCCTAACAGTGTTTGTAGAACTAAGCTTTTAGCTCCCAGTTCAACAATATTTTAAAATAAGTCTTAAAATTGATTTCAAAATGCTTTAAATATTATTGAGGTCCATTACTGGAATTTGGTTCAAATCAGGCATTTAGCAATATGAACATTGAATTGACACATTTTCTGATCCTAACAAACTGCAATCAGTTAATCATTAGCACAGAGAAGTATTGATTCCGCTTTTCAGCTTCCATGATTCAGCAGCAGGACTGAAGGTCATTGTCTCTTGTCTATTAATATTTAAACAACCCAGAATAGCTTAAAGGAGAAGCTTAGATGCTCACTGATTCTTCCTGAGAGATTAATAATTGTTTATAGAAAAAAAAACATGAAAGACAATGATTTATTTTTGTTTTAATTACTTAGAAACAAATGAAGTCTTGAAATAAGATAATAGAATGAATGAAAAAAACGCTCAGAATTTCCATTTTTTAAAATAAAGAAACATTTCAAAGGAAACTATAAAAGCAGGGATTTCCTACACTGAAATGTAAACAATTTGCATTTGCTATGACAGCAAATCATTACCTAATGCCATTATGGGCTGTTCCAAAGTGGGAGTGCAGAACCAAGCCTTCTAATTTCAGCCAATCAGAGATCCTAATGATGACGGTGGCTATGTACACTTTATTAAAATTTATAAATGCATGTATATATAGATAAAAATAAGGAACAACATATAAATGTAGGGAAGCTCTGGGAGTGTTATCTGATGAAGATCTTAAGTTTTAAATTTTAATTAGCTCCATAATAAACATGGAAAATGAGCACTTTAAAGGACATCTATTTAGGCATTACAGATACTTGCTGGTCTGTTGCTGAATTAATTTTGTATTTTCCCCTCAATTATTAGTTGGATGCATTGATAGTTATTACTGAAGTATGTCATTAATTTCTATTTATTTTTATACATATTATGGGTACCTAAGATCTTAGAATAAACATCTTTAAAATAGAACTTTCTAGTCATAGATTAAAGATTTGGTATTTACAAGCTTAAAAAGAATATAACCAAAAAAAGAGAAAAGCTTAGCATTATGTGTGCATGCTAGAAGTAAAATATTATCATAAAAATAGTGCCTAAGAATAGCTTTTATTACTTTACATTTTGTCTTGCCCACTACCATCTCTGGGAGAAATCAAGGCAAAGTATTCAGTTCACTTAGTTCATTCACTTGTTATTTTGGCGGGCATACTGAATTTCAGCCCTCTCCATTTCTCCTTTTTTTCCACTCTGTTTTTCCCTGCATAAGATGTAGAGAACCATGTTAATAATAGCCTGAGCTTGCAGAGGAATCTAGGGAATTCAGAGAGGTATTCTCTATTCTGAATCCACTAAACCTCTGAACCACTGAAATTTTAGAACAGAAGACTCTGATTGTTAAAACTGGCAAGTAGAAATTAAATAAAGAAGTCTTATTAGCCTCTTTTATTAGTGTTTAAAAAAATGCAATATTGGTCTACAGTTGAACAGCAGGACTAATGGTGAATTCATCCTTCATGTAAATAAAGATCACAGGATACTTGAGGTGGTTTTGTCCTATTAAATTCATTGCCCTTTTAAAGTATATATAGAGAAAATATATGTTCTTTACACAATCAGCATGAAGGTTTTTTTTTTTTAATAGGCATTTTGCACAAACAGGGATGATAAATGTAGAACAAGACATGGACAAGCATGGCTACCCTGTATCCATGGACTGGATATTTAACTCCTATCTACTTAAAACAGACATAATAGCTGTAAATAATATGTGTAATTTAACCTACATTATCCAATGTTTACATGCTTTTTCATAGAGGAGTTATAATATAAACAGACAGATGTTTTAAAAGCACTTCATAGCGAAGGATGAAGCAAAACTTCCTGTCCAGGAAATTTTATGCATAATAATGTTATTTTTGATAAGCAATGAAGAAATAACCCATGTATATTTTTAACTCCAGGCTTTCTCACATCTTTTCTTCCTAATAAAATCTTTACATTTTCCAGCTGCTCTCTGACTAACACTGAATTGATACCAGACTGTTTTTTTTTAACAGTCACAGAAACACAGGGATAATACATTTGAAACACTTACCTAAGATTTTGCTATCAACAGGAAAAAAAAAGAAACTTCAAAATACCAGAGTGAAAGGATGTACAATGTAAAATAAGAGTTTAATGTCAGATACCAAAGAGCAAGGCTGAAATAATGGTATTCTTCTGATGCCCAAGGTAAGCACAATGAAATCAGATGTTTCCATACAACTGATAAACCCATGGAATGTTCATTCAAATACTGCCAATACAGAATTACAATAAGGAAATATTTAAAGGCAGCAGCAGAGCTCTCATCTTTTCTAGCCTGATTCTTTAACATGAATGGAAACACTAAGGAGTTTGAATAAAATAGCTATACTGGAATTGTGAAACCAATTTTTAAATGCAATAATTATATATATGAGAGAGTTATATTATGTGATCTTTTTAAGGTGAATTTTTCAGAACCCTTTGTAGCATTGAATATGTGATCCCTTAGGAGTCAAAAAGTGCTCAAATATCTTTATATACAATTTTGTTTATAATTATCCAGGCTGTAACTCTAAGTCTACAAGACTGAGTTTTTATCAATGAATTACAAAAATAATACCATGCAAAGATTCAAAGTTAGGACAGTCTGACTTATAGCTTCTGTGTTCTGGCCAATACTGAATCTAGGTAAATGAGGTTTTGTATTCATAATCCAATATGCTACATCCTTCCAGCAACTGACAAAATAATAGGAAAAAGATATTAGCACCGTCATCATCAATTAACCATACTTAAAGTGACCCAATATCCACTAAGTTAAGGATTGTCATGCCTGTGGCTGTAACTACTCTTAGGTAATAGTAATCTTGTTTACCATTTGTTTATTTCTCCTTTATATTTGTTTTTTTAAAAAAGTGAATACCACTTGGCTGTCAGGGACCTTATAGCCCTTGATAGTTATGAAGATATACCCTGCAATGGTTTCACTAAGCAAATGGAATTTATACCTCATCATTTGACAATGAACAGAGTCAAGTTTTTCATCCCTTTCTTACAGGAAGTTTTGCTTTGCAAATCAATGTAATAGAAATATCTCATATCTTTAAAAAAAATCAAATTAAACCAAAACCTACTGAAAATAGATATTTATTACAGATATTTATTATTCATTCACTATTTTTTTAAGAACTACATCAATAGCAATGGTTGCTGTAAAATAAGTCACTGAATATCTGAAGTCTTATTACCTTTTTTAGATCAGGCAATTCCTTAGGAAGAATGTGGCTATGAACATCAATTTTCATTTTTGAAGTATCAAAGGAGAACTACGCTTTCAAAGGAAATGTTTTCTATGTAACTGCTACTAACCTTCCTGTCCCTGGCTCAGCGGGTCAATAACTTAGGCTGCTGTTCCGATCTACCTGCTATCTTATCAGGGCAACCGCATACAGTAACCAACCAGGGGGCCAAAACCCCAGAGGAGTGGCTCTGGGAAAGAACAAAAGCTTCTAGAAGTAGAAAGTTCCTGTTAATGCATAAACTGCATCTGAGGGAAAAGAGAAAATGCATATTTATAGTTGTGATATGGAGGCTTTTTTTTTTTTGTTATCTAGATTTTAAAACACAAACTGGTTTACAGTCGAACATGATCTGAATTTCCTTCTTTCACTTTGTCAGATTCTGAAATGATCTGAAGAGAGGATATAACATACCGTTGTAAGAATTTATGCCTTCTTCCCGTACTTTATTCATAAGGGACTTCAAAAAGATTAATATTGAACTGTGGCCAAATCTGTTCTCTGCAGTTTCATCTCCCTTTTCGATTATTAGTTTCTTTAGCATATTTACACAGTGTAAATAGCACTAGTGGACACTACTGCTCAGTCACGCAGACTGGCTCATGTTACTTAAGAATCATAACAAATTAATGCTAGTGTGGTATCTATGTTATATACTTAGTATGGCACACATTTTGTGTGTGCTAAATTAAACTTAACTGGCTTAGATTTTATGTCACCCTACACTTCACTTTTTGTCTTTACTCAGGTAATAGATATCATTCCTGGAGATAGCCTTGCCTTTTGCTTTTTTTTTTTTTTAATCTGTAATTTATTTTCTCTGTAGTTTTGTTTCAACTCTTGCTTCCCTCATGATTGCCAAAGCTGGTTAACCATTTCTTAATTAACCTGCTTTAATGAAAAATGCTGATTTTTCAAAGCGAAATGCTGTTGTAGTTCAACAAATCTTTCAGCGAAACATTTTTCAAGCAGACTGAAAAACAAGTGGCCTATTTTATTTCATCCTTTTTCCGACTTCATTATTTTGTTTGGGCTTGATTTTAAAAATATCCTGCAATCTGTTATATTTCCCTGGTTGTTCATTCATGAACATGTCTGCTTTTGATGTGTTCAGTTTAACTACTTGGAGTTACTCTTCGAGTCAACTTGTGATAGGGTTGATTAGCTGCATGATGTTGTGTCTGCCTGAGACATGAGCTCACTGAGAACTGAATGCTTAAAACAAACAGGAAGCAGAAACTTTGGGACAGTACTACTCAAAGACAGATGGACAGCCAGGATTTTACTTTACAGATGAACTACATGGTACTGAAATAGCAGTCATTACCATTTCAAAAACCAAACCTGTCTCTCTCTGCCCAAGCTCCCTGGTTAAGCTGCATATTTGCCCTCTTGCTCCTGATGTGAGAGCTATATTTTAAGATCTAGCACTACAGTGTTAGCCTGTTGGCTGTCAAAGCAGGAGGTTGTGAGCAGATGGGAACTTTTACATGCAGAATGGCTTGGGCGACAGAAAGATACAATTCATTGTTTGCAGAACCATACAAAAAGTGTTAGGTACCAGTCTCCGAACTGTACCCACCCTTGAGCTACCCACAGAATATATATTCCACAGCATTTGGATGAGATGAGACCACCAGGTTGGTCAGAAAGGGTAGTATGGAGATCAGCCAATGCCTATATTTGCTATGTCTCCTACAGAGATGAACTAAAATGCACACAGACTTCTTTCTGGGCATTCCTGAAGAATCGGATGTGCGCAGTGTGCCATCTGTTCATACAATCTAAGGGCTGCATGGGAAAAAGAAGTGAGAAATCCAGACCACCAATTCACAATGTTTTATTTCCACATTTTAATATATTTTTAGAGATCATAATTAGTTTTGGAGGGAATTTTGATTCAATCAAAAATTTGTACTGGTTTTGGTTTGGTGGTCTGGTGACCTGAATTTTTAAATAATTTTTCGGATAATTACAGTAGTTAAAACAGACCAATCGTCACTGTTTCTTCAGCAATACTAATAATTTATTCTGCGGAAGAGTATTCATTCTTAAATTACAGTGAATTTGAACTGCAATTCAATTTTAAAATCCTACGTTTGGGATTCGACACATAGATGTTGAAATTATTTTTGCGAATGATTTCTGCAAACATAGACCAAAGGAGTGCTGAAGTCACAGCAAACATTTGGAGGCGGTCCTTGATTCCCAGGGCTCTTCTCATCTTTCCAGCTCAGGTCCATTTTTCCTTCTTACACTCAGTACAAGAATGTGAATTCCATGGTGCCCTGGCCAGTGAACTGCTGCATTCCATCTTTCCATTAATAATGAACAATAGACTTAAATTTACATTTTGGTGGAGTTTCTATCAAGCAACTTTAAGAGACAAATTTGGCTGTAAGGTTAAAAAAAAATCCTGGAACAAATTCCCAAGGCAGGGGGCGGTTCTGCAAAGAACTGATTCTTACAGAAACTATAAGAAAAAGCAAGGTGGTTCTCCAGTATGTGGCCAAAATTCAGGACAAATCCAGTCTAGTCCAAATCCTTTGTGCCTTATCTGATTTTTTTTTTCAAAAAGAAAAGCTCTTCCAGGATAATTTTGCGACAGATTGTCCAGAGCAGGTCTGCAGAACTTCAGAGCTTTATTTCACTAGAGCAACAAGTTCTAACTGAAAGCAGCATTAGACCTAATGCATTAAATGCTCTTTCTCAAAAGCTATTTAGCTGTTCTTCTGAAAGAATTAGAGGATTTGAGATTTGGAATCTTCAGACTGGAAACTGGAGGTGCAACTTTGGTTTATCAGGAAGAAGATATTTCTTCATCCTAGTTGGGGGGGGGGAAGGGAGGAGATGACTCCTTAAATAAACATGGTTACGCTCTGCAGACAGCTCTATTGCGCAGTTACACTATCAAGACACACTATTTCCAAGCAGGAGTAATGTAGAAGCAAGAGGCAAATTTTGGATGCTGATATTAGAAAGTACTAATCGATTTGTGCCTGTTCCTCAGCCCTTCCAGACTTGCATGTCTTCCTCAGGCACATGTGTTTTAAATTGCACTTTTGTATGTTAAAAATGGCTATTATACATATACACAGGATGAGAAAAAGCAGCTGGAAAGCTGTGCATTCATTAGCTAAGAATGTAAAGAGTATGTCCTCTTACAAATGAAATAAATGTTGAGCTGAATGCTTATACTGGTTGCTTAGCAACTGGTTGTCCTTTGGCTATGCGGGTGACTGTGCTGGGCCTTTGGGACTGCCACTACAGAGCACAGCTCCTGAAGCTCTGCAATGAGCCCATCCTAAACATGTCACAGGCAGAGCTCTAATTCTATTTTTGCATGGCTTCAAATAATTACTTTTCCTATAAAATTAACCTGTTGTTCACAGAATTGAATCTTCCTCCAGAGCTCCAGGGAGGACTGAATATTTCCCTTCTACTGGGGAATAAAAAATAAAATGCAGTTCCCATGTAGCCCTTCCCAACTGTAGAATCCCAAAGCTCTTTACAAAGTCACTGTTGTCATCCCTGAAGGGAAAATACCAGTATTGGCATAGCTACACCAAAAGCACATCACATTGCATTCACCAGTAATTCACCAGTAATACATTCCCTAGTAGGTCCCAATGTCACCTTTTAGAGGGTGGCACTGATATTCCCCATTCCGAAATGCCAGGCTGTCTATCCACCATGCAGATTGTATAGCTACCTGGATTGGGGTGTCTAAGTTTTAGATGTATCTACAGAATGCAGAAGAAGACATACACTGATTCTCCACTCTAGAGTCAGCTACATTTGCTCAAGACCACAGCAGTGCAGGTATAATGCTCATTAAACATTTTCTTTCCATCATATGGAGACAAGTAAAATACATTTTTCATTTTGTTATTCAGAATTCTACAGAAACAAATACCTGGAAGAGCATCTGTATTATATTAGAGCTGGTGCTGGCCTATACCTGAGCCAGTTTTGCCTTGCAGAGATGTTGGGCTTTTAAGCTGAGCTGTGATGCTGACTGATGCAGCTTTGATGTTTCCAAAACTTAATACATTCGTTTGGAGATGCTGCAAGGATGCACAAGCTCCGACTTCTGCTCAGCTGGTGGCCTCTCCATCACACTCTCAGAGCTGCCAGTGCTGCCCCAGTTATGCCACTAAAATTTACAGTGTAAAAATGGCCAAGATCATGGGCTGCTCTGGCAGCATTTTGCCCTGCTCTGTCATTGCCAGCCTAGCAGGGTTCAGCTGAACCACAGAAGGATGAAAGCAAACAACGGCTTGCATGCCAAGCTCCTGACAATTCACATGCTCTGTGCCATGTATGTTAGGACCTTATGAACCCTTATTTATTTGGGGCCTTGTAAAGAAATAATAAATACTTGAAATGTCAGCAGTATCCTACATCAGAACAGAGATATATGACCATCTTTCAAATAATGCCATTATTAGAGTCTTACATTTCTGTGCTATGGCTTTTGCTAGGATGGCGTTATGCAGTCATTTCAGTGAAAGGATTTTGGGGATTTCAAATCTAAATCTTTAACAGCATAAAATACCTCTAAAATTGAAGCAGTAAGTTAGATTCTTAAAAAAATGCGTAGCATTCTTGTAAAGTTAACACTGTGGTCAGAAAATGAAACAAAACATTATTCTATGTAGAATAAACTTGAAAAAAAAGGTAAAAAATGAAAAATGCTAGAATGACAGAATGATGCTATGAAAGTTATATTTTATTTCACTTTCTCACTATTTGGGGGGCTCTAAATTTCTAAATTTTGGATATTGGAATGGTCTTCTCAGAGCTTTTTTTTTCTGGTGTAGAAAAGCAGCCAAGGAACCAACAAAACCCCTACTGCCTAAATTTGTTTGTCTGCATAAAGCAACTATAATTAGTATGCTTGGCTCCAGAACACTGCAGAAGTGTGCTTATGTCTCCTGTGCTACCAGGACAGGGCTCATAAAACATGATTCCTCATGGGTCCTCAAGGCCTGCTTGAACATGAAATTACGCGTTCTATCACTTCTGAATAGTTGTGGTAAAGGAATCTCTTGCAAGGGACTGG